TGGTTATTGGCAGAGAGAAAGAGAGGAACAGAAAGAGAGAGAGAGAGAGACAGAAAGAGAAAGAAGAAGAGAGAGAAGAAGAGAGAAAGAGAGATTACAAATAAGAGTTTCTATTTTTTATTTCTATTTTTTGTAAGAAAAAAAAAATATATATATATATATATCCATGTATTCGTAGCCGGGGACTTCAAGAGAAAGAGCAGGCACATTAACCATTACACTACACACCCTCGCTTATTCTTTACGTATTTTTTCTAATTTTTTCTTATTTGTGGGTATTTTTAGACTAACTTGCACATTTTTAGGTATTTCTTTCTTGTTTATGATATCTTTCGAATGCTTTTTTTCAAAGATAAATAATTGAAGAGCTGACTGGTGGTATGGTGTGGTGTGGGGCGGTGGTTATGTCACTGTTGTTTTTGTGCTAATTTGTCCTTCTTAACCATTTTCTTTCCTAACTCTTTGTATAATTTGTTTTAAAGATATCTACTCTTTAAACTTTGCTTAGTTCGTCTCGCTCTTTCTAACTTTTTCATTCACTCTTTCATTTATTTAACCTGTCTATCGCTCGTTTATTCCTTTTCTAACTCATTCTCTCTTCAATCAATCAACCATCCCAACAATCAATCTTAATTAATCAAGAAAGCATACATCAAATAGAGAGAAAACATTTAAACTGCGCACACACGCACACACCTACCAGCATACGCTCACACGCCAAAAACAAACGCATACATTTACACGCACACACAAGCGCAGACATCACATATACACACATATACAAACAAACATACAAACAAACACACATACAAACAAACATACAAACAAACAGGGAAGGATTTCCGATACAACCAAGCCAAACAGGATTTTGTAAGGTTTACACCCTGACACCTCTACTAAGTAACAACCGTCATAAACGAGGTTTGGCTTTAGATGGCAAGTTGAAACATGAAGATACCAATCTTGCATCTTCAACAATGTTCGTTTGTATATATGTTTGTATGTATGTTTGTATGTAGGTTTTTATTCATGTTTGTATGTAGGTGTGTTTGTATGTAGGTGTGTTTGTATGTTTGTATGTATGTATGTTTGTTTGTTTGTATGTATTTATGTATAAAAGTTTATATTTTTATGGTTTTAAATTATATAGTGTTTTTTAAACGTCATAATTCAACATAGAAAATCAATCTCCTCTGTTTGCATATTAATTTATCTACGGTCATATTTTGTAAACAAAGGTTTTTTTACATTTGAAAATAATATTTAAAAAAATTTTAACATAACTATAATTATTATTTTTTATTATCATTGTCTTGTTGTTGCTGCTGTTGTTGTTGTTATAAAATTGTTGACATTTGTTTGTTTAATGAGTGTATTGATGTTATGAATGTAGTTATTTATACGTGTGTGTGTGTGTGTGTTTGTGTGAGAGAGAGAGAGAGAGAGAAAGAGAGAGTTTGTTTGCGTGTGTATATATATGTGTGTGTGTGTGTATCAATGTATGAATGTATATGTATGTGTGAGTATGAGCGTGTGTTGTGTGTGTGTGTGTGCGTGCGTGTGTAGGTATGTGTGTATTACGAAATGATTAAAATATAATATCCAACAGTCGATTCTACCGACATTAATGATTCGGAAATAATCGTATTTATTATTTAGGCGAATAGTATTTGGTCGGATAATGACGTTGATGATGATGATGATGATTATGATGATGATGATGATGGTGATGATGATGACGTTGTTGATGGTAATGGTGATTGAGGGCATAAAAGCTTGTCATTGATTCTCTAATTAGGCTAACATAACATGCATCATTTTTTATGATGGCCACTTATTTTCTCAGTATTGTATGTATGTATGTATGTATGTATGTATGTATGTATGTATGAATGTATGTATGTATGTATTTATGTATGTATGTATGAATGTATGTATGTATGTATGTATGTATGTATGTATGTATGTATGTATGTATGTATGTATGTATGTATGTATGTATGTATGAATGTATGTATGTATGTATTTATGTATGTATGTATGAATGTATGTATGTATGTATGTATGTATGTATGTATGTATGTATGTATGTATGTATGTATGTATGTCTGCCCAAACTCGTCCGCCCCTGCGCCACATCGGCAAATGTATTTATTCTGAATGACCAGGCCAAGTCTGAAGCCAATGGCAAATCTCACAGACTCGTCGTCAAGCCTGGTGCCACAGAGGTGTTGGGCCACGATCTCAACCACCCACAGCTGGCAACGCTAGACATGGCCAACAAACGAGCGGTGGAAAAGTCGTCGCCGCATGAAGACAACAAATTTTGAAAGATTTTTTTATATTCTTCGTTTAAAATTTGGACGTGCGTACGGTCCCCCGGGGCGGACCCTGGGGGAAGAATGTCACGGCAACGAAAAAACCGGTGGAGCAGGGAAGACTGCAGATTGAGAGTGGCAGCGGCAGAAGAATTATAAACAACGGGAGCCAGCTGAACCACGCTAAGCAACCCCAGCCCACCAAATCGCACCGGCAGCTGAGCCTGGGACCAACCACTGTCGGTCACTTGAACATTGCAAATCGACGACAAGGCGGTGCGCAGGGCTCCGTCAAATTCGCCCAATTTAGAAGGGTCAATGTGTTTGGATGTACGCAGGAAGTACATCAATTTGGGCAAACTGAGGGCATTGCGGATAATAGTCAAGGCATCATGGGCCGAAAGACAGGAAACACGACCCAGGGCGAATTCAAGTTCAGAGAGCTTTTGGTCAAAAAACTTTATTTGATAATCGCCCTCGACCAAGGGTGTGCTTAAAAAACTCAGTTCTGGTGCACCAACTCTGGGTATTCCAGCCAGCGCATGTGGCACCTGAAATAAACTTTGGCAGTGAAGTTCGCATTTTTTAATGTTTAACTCTAAACCAATTGCAGCGGAGTTATGCTTCAAATATTTGTAGCTATCGGCCAGAGTTGGGCCGTCCGAAGCAATGCTGATATCATCCAGATAAGCGCAAACGAAAGTGGACGAAGCTTTCTCTAAGAGGGGATGAAGAGTTAGTGCGAACAGCAAAGGACCAAGGGGATCACCCTGCTGTACCCTCTCGGACGATTCTACAACCCAAAAGTGGTAGCCAAGGGAAGAGACTCCGCCATAGGCAGAATGGCAAAAATTATAGATGTTGGGGCAAAAAAGTTTGACAGCCTCCAACATCGAGTCTCTTCTCAAGGCATTGAAGGCATTTTTAAAGTCCAATTTCAGAAACACCCATTGATCGGGGAGGTCGGTGACCAATCTTCGAACCGCATGAACAGCGGCCTCAGCGCCACCCTTAATCCCGACACCCAAATGAGTCGGGTAGAACTTGGTCTTGAGTTCGACCACGATCAGGGCCAAGGCACATTTGCCGGCCAACCTCCTCCAAACGTTCCCGACCGCAATCGGTCTGACCCCTCCGTCTTTCTTATTTAAAGCTATTAGCCGGCCTCCAAAAAAGAACTGGCGGACGGAGAGTGGGCAAGCTTCAGATAGGATCAAATTAATGAATTGGGTTAAGGAGTTCAGTGTGTTGTCAATTTGCAAGGGGCCTGAAAAAACATCTTTAAGGTGCTGGGGTCGTAGGCCATCCAGGCCTCCAGAAAAACCGTTTTTGAACGATTTAACGGCCCTCAGCACCTCGGCGGGAGAAACGCAGCCAGCCGCTGATGTCAATGCGGGAAAGACCCGCCTGTCTACCGGAATTTTTGGGTGGATGGAACATAATTTATCGAAGGTGGCCGGCGAGCTCTCCGCCAGGCCCTACGGCAAACAGACAAGTCTGACAGCCGAGGACAGGTTTCCCTGTTCAATACAAGATGACACAGCGTTGATCCACCGATCGGGGTTGTGCTTTTGTGATTTGGCATTATTGAACCCATCAAAGCACAGTACCAGGGTTTCAAGACCAATAGTTGAATATTCGCTTAGATGCTTGTTGACCAGATTGCCCTGGTTGACCCGGCGACCCCCTCTGGAAGTCTTCTCTAAGACGTATGGGACAAAACAGTGGAGTCTAACCCAGTGAGCCGGGTCACCAGGGTCATTACAAACAGCCGTCAGCAAGGCGTTCAGATCATGTGCGAACTTTTCTCTGCATGGCTTAGGGATATGGTCGTACACCGGTACACATTTCAGCACGGCCGTCAGCTTGTCAAAAACACCAGAGTAATCCAGGTCGAGAGGATCACCGGAGACCGATGCGGCCGACGATCGTGTGGGCAACCCAGGCTTGGGGTCGGGTGCGGCACCGAGAGGCGAAGCAGCCCTCGCGCCCGATGGATCAACTTTTTTCCCGTACCCTGAGCATTCCTGTCCTTTCACTTTACCTCCGTGCCGACATAACTTCCCGTCTGGAGTGCTTCTATAGTGGTAAAAGCAGACGGGGCAATATGTATGTATGTATGTATGTATGTATGTTTTTGTGTACATACTAAACATACATACAGACAGACAGACAGATACTCGTGCAAATATACAAACAAAAAACAAACAAACAAAAAACATACAAAAAACGTGCAGAAACATACCAACGCCAAAAAAATAGATTATTAGACCCAAGCCAGAAGGAAAACCTGGGCATCATCGTACAGTACAAGGTCAAGGTCAGACTCATATTGGGTTTCGGGTCAAGGTTAAATACCATTCATAATTATTTTTCAAACTATAATCTATTATAATTACTATAATTAAATCGTTCATTTTTATGGTTTTACGAGCAATTGTTGTTGTTTTTCTCTATTGAAACTCAAAACAAAATGAATTTAACTTTTTTCAGCGACCTTGCAGTTAAGCTGCCCTTCACCTTGACTCACCCCAAACCAGTTGATACTCCTCCATCCACACCAACAGCCAACCAATCATCTTCGCAGGCCCCGACAACTTCTGTCCCGGCAGCCAATCAGCAGCCAGCGTCTGCGCCATCCTCGTCTTTGATTGGTGGAGGTGAAGATAAATCTGTGAAAGCCGATGACGTCATTGTTGACGTTGGTGGTGTGGGCGGAGCTAACGTGGCTGTGGAGGGCATTCAAGATGGAGACCTCATCCAATTGGATGATGAGTATGTCTATCAATCACCAATGTGTTTGACATCGAAATGTTAAATATATAATGATAGGGGTGAAGAAAGGAAGATAAAAAACGAAAATAAAAAAATGAGAGAGAGAGAAAGAAAGAAAGAGGAAAGAAATAGAGAGAATTTGACAAATATGAATACAGATTACTCAAATTACTCAATCATTATAATTTATTAACATAATTACCATAATTATCAATAAATATAATTAACCATATTTTTTTATTATAACTATAATTTTTATTAATTGTAATCATAAATTGATATAAACTTCCCAGATGCTGCATGTCCACCATCCACTCGCAATCTGTCGTAGCTGCGAATGATGATCTGATATTTGAAGATTTTGCAAGGTTGCGTTTGAAAGGCGTGATGGACCATGATTGATTGATTGATTGATTGTAAAAGTGGATGACTGAACGAACGAATGGATGGATGGATGGATGGATGGATTGATGGATGGATGGATGGATGAATGAATGAATGAATGAATGAATGAATGAATGAATGAATGAATGAATGAATGAATGAATGAATGAATGAATGAATGAATGAATGAATGAATGAATGAATGAATGAATGAACCACCAAGAAATGATAGAATGAATAAAAATGACATAACGAACCACAAACGATTGACTTTAATCATCGTGCAAGTTTATATATTTTTATGATCGTGTTCATGTTTTATAATAATAACAATAACAATAACAATAATAACAATAATAATAATAATAACTCTTTTATTATACTTATTAACATATTCATATCAATGCCATTAAAAATATTAATAATGATATTATACAAGTTCTCTTAAAAAAAAGCATTTAATGCTGTTAATTGTGGCTTTGTCCCAATAAAACACACACACAAACACACACACACATGCATACATACACATACCTGTCTATGGATCATCCTGTCAAAAAGTTGAACAAGGAATGTTCATTTCAACTACGAAGACTCAGACAGATCAGAAATTCCTTTGAATTGTCAGCCTCGATAACTCCGTGAAGAACTAGAAACTCATTCTTTTTAAGAATTAAACCTTATGACTTGAGCAGCGCCTTTGAGAAGTTTTAAAAGGCGCTAAAATATAAATTCTCTAAAAATAATAATAATAATAATAATAACAACAATAATAATAATAATAATAATACACACACACATATACATATATATATATATATATATATATATATAACAATTATGGACTTATACATATAATATATATATATATATATATATATATATTATATGTATACTATGTGACTTCTGTATGAGCAATTCCGGTTATAATGTAATTATATATATACATAAATGTATATAAATTAATATATATTTATGTTTTATTAATAATTAATTTGTTTGTATTTATTTATAGTTCTTCGGTTTGAATAATAAGCTAACAGAGTGCGTGGATGTGTGCATTTTTTAGAAGCCAACTTGGTTGGCTGGTTGGCTGATTCAATCATTCACTCGTTCATCTATTCATTCATCCAATCATTCATTTATTTATTCATTCATTCATTCATTCGTTCTGTCTTTCATTTATAAATTTGACGATTTTTTCCATTTAATACGTACATTCATTCATTTATAAATTTGACGATTTTTTCCATTTAATACGTACATTCATTCATTTGCTAGAAGTTCTTACTTTTATCTACGTAGAATTAAAAAAAACTTTTGCCTTTTCTTGACAATCCTACTCTTCTCCTTCTTGTTTTTTAGTTAGTCTTATCTAGGATTGGTTATTGTAACTCGCTCTATTTTAACTCTGCTGCTCGTCTAGTTGCTTGTGCCCCTTTCTTTTCTCATATATCTCCATATCTTGTTCTCTTGCACTAGCTACCTATAAAATATAGAATAATTTTTAAAATTTGCACATTTAAATATAAGTCTCAATCTAAATTCTTTCCTAATTACTTATCAGATATATTAATTGAACCTAAATATACGGTCGTCTTCTTGTTCTCACTTCTTCTTAACTCTTATTAAACACTCTTTTGCCAAATCTGCATTTGCGTTTTTGGCTTTTTTCTCTGGAACTTGAAGACCTTAATTTCAAAATTAAAAAATCTTTATTGCTTTTATTATTAACATAATTAGGGGCAAAGAAAAAACAATAAACAAAACAAAGAAAAAATAAACCAAACAAAGAAACAAAAGAACGAATGAAGAACTAAATTCAATTGAAACTTTTTACGCGATGAAGCACATCAGCATTATTAATATTATGATCGTTAAGTGTAAATAATTGCAGGAATATGTTTAAATACACACACACGCGCGCGCACACCACACACACACATATACACGCACACATACACACACGCATACACATACAAACACACGCTTGCATGCCAAACATGTCTATCAAAAAATTGGTCTCTTTCAAAGAATGAATGAATGATATCACGGAAAACTAAAATGCATAGAACTTGTAATTATATTGTAACAGTAATAGCAGTAGTAGTAGTAGTAGTAGTAGTAGTAGTAGTAGCAACAACAACAGTAGTAGTAGTAGTAGTAGTAGTAGTAGTAGTAGTAGTAGTATTAGTAGTAGTAGCAGCAACAACAACAGTAGTAGTAGTAGTAGTAGTAGCAACAACAACAGTAGTAGTAGTAGTAGTAGTAGCAACAACAACAGTAGTAGTAGTAGTAGTAGTAGAAGTTTTTAAGCATCTCAATCGATCTCTATATTCAAAGATTTCAACTTCAGCAAAAATCTTTGGACCTGATCATGTTTCTGAAAAAAATAATAACAATAATAATAATAAATTTATAATAATAACAATAACATGTAATAATAATAATTATAAATGTAATAATAAAAATTAATAATTATAAATGTAATAATAAAAATTATAGTGACGATGAATTTGAAGTTAAAATAATTCTGCACGGACTTACATTAGAAAATCTCATCTCATTAACAATATGGCAAAAAATCTTCTTCCATTTTTTCATATCGTCACCATAATTTTTGTTGTTGTTATTGTTGTTGTTGCTGCTGTTGCTGTTGTTGTTGAAAATTACATTCATAACATCAGCAATGTTCTTAGTTAGAATCTCCAGCAAGATTTCTGCCATGTACAACCAAAATTTCGGTATGTCAATTTCCAAGTCATCCGATGCTTCAAAGATTTTCTTCAAACTGGCAAAAAATTATTGTTATATTTATAATAATAATTATTATTTTCGCTATAATTTTTATTCTTATTATCGTTACACCCCCAAACATCATCATCATCAATGCCATCGTCATCATTACAATTCTAACCTTTCCACGAATGTATTAATGCAGAGAGGTGTTGATGAATTGGGTGAATTATGGCCACTGCCATCGTCAGCATCAGCAGCATCATCGTCAGCATCGTTATCTTCTTCATCTCTTGATAGCAGATGAATGAGTAACTCACTCATCGCCATCCTGTCATTCCTCGATCTTTCCAGACATTCGGTCATCATCCTCTCCACACATTCTACGTGATGTGTGCCCATTTCGTTGAAAAATAACTCCGCCTCCTTTTTGTTAGCGATCATAAAATAACAATCATAATATTTATAATTATAATATTATAGTATTAATAATTGTAATTATAGTAGTAGCTGTAGTAGAAATATAATAACGGTCATAATATTTATAATTATAATATGATAGTATTAATAATTGTAATTACAGTAGTAGTAGTAGAAGAAGTAGTAGTAGTTCTAGAAGTAGTAGTAGTAGTAGTAGTAGTAGTAGTAGTAGTAGTAGTAAAACTAGTAGTAATAGTAGTAGTAATAATAGTAGTAGTAGTAGTAGAAGAAGAAGCAAAGGCAGCAGCAGTAGTATAACATTAGTAATAGTAGTAGTAATCTAGTTGTAGGTTTACTTTTAAATTTCGGATCAATAGATACTCTTTGAAGAAGTCAGAGCATTTTTGTTGCAATTTCTCGCGAGTTATTTTCATTTTGTTGTTGTTGTTGATGTCATTAACGTTGTTGTTGTTGTTGATGCTGTTGTTGTTGTTGAAGTTGTTGATGTTGTTGTTGGTGTTGTTGTTGATGTTGTTGTTGATGATGTTGTTGCTGCTGTTGTTGACATTAGGGCTGAGTATTTTAGTGTTGATGTTGCTATTTTTAGTTTTGTTAATGTCACCGATAATATTGATGTTGTTGTTGATGTTGTTGTTGATGATGTTTATGTTGTTTTTGTTGTTGTTGTTGTTATTTAAGAATTCAAATGATTTAGTTTTATCTCTTTGCAAAATTTTTATAGCAACAACATTTAAATTCATGCTAATTTCATCTGTTCTGGTTTTACTGTACAAAATATTATTATTGTTGTGAATGTTGCTATTATTGTTCTTGTTGTTAGTGCTGGTGTTAATTCTGTCAAAAAGACACTTGTTATAAATTGTTGTTTGTTGATGTTGTTGTTGTTGTTGTTTGTATCTGAAACCGGAAGACGGTTTCATAGGCCCAAAAATTGGTGACGACGGTAATGATTTGTTGTTATTACTATTACCGCTATAGTTAGTATTATTATAAATGTTATTATTATTTTTATTATTATTAGTTGTAGTAGTAGTAGTAGTATTGTTGTTGTTGTTGTTGTTGAAGTTAGGATATTTATTTAAGCTGTAAGGAAAATGAAATGGAAAAATATTTTACTAATATTATTATTAATTTAAAACCAGCCAATCAGAAGAAAACACAATTAATTATTTAATATAACTAAGGTAATTATTATAATAATTTATATTATATCATTATTATTATTATAATCATTTATATTTTTTTAATCATTTTTAATACAAACTTCAAGCTAAGAGATAGACGGCTAGGCTGAAGATGTGAGAATTTATTATTTATATTATTATCGTGGTTGTTGTTTGTGTTGTTGTTGTTGTTGTTGTTGTGGTGGTCATAAATATTATTGTTATTAGAACTCTTGGAACACTCGTAAACAGAAATGGATTTTTGTAGTTTGCGCGGGTCGAAATTTTTGTTATTATTATTATTATTATTATTGTTGTTGTTGTTATTACTATTAACCTTGTTACTCATGTTGTTGTTGTAAATATTGTTATTGTTAGTGTTGAAGTCATTTTTTGCTGTTGTGTTGAATGATGATGATGGTGTTGTTGTTGATGATGATGACGAGGATGATGATGACGACGACGACGATGATGTTGTTGTTGTTGTTGTTGATGTTTTGGCCATTAGATGTCTCGGAACCCATCGATTCTGTCAATAGGATGGTTTAATAAATCATCATCATCATCGTCGTCATCATCGTCATCGTCATCGTCATCATCAATTTCATCATCCTTATCATCGCCATCCTTATTAGCATAATTGACCTCTCTAAGTTCAAGGACGTCTTTGATCATGAACTTTAACCTGGCGGACAAATATCTTCTGCTCGATATGTCCTTCAACCTCTTGAAGTACTGGTCCATCAAGAACTAGTTCATAGTTCATTAACATTATTTATGCTAATTAGGTAGTTTATGAAAACGAACGAATGAGTGAATGAATGAATGAACAAACGAACGAACGAATGAATGAATAATAACTGACCTTTGATTGACACAAATCAATTTTCACCCCGACTGTAGTTAGCAAACGACAGAGACTCTCCAGCCGACTCTCATCTCGACCCGACCTGTTTCAAATTAAACCAACTAATCATGAAACTCAATCAATTAATTAATTTCTACATCCACGAGTTAATTAGTATTCGAGAATTAATTATTAATAATCAGGCGATTAATATTCATGAGCTAAATGGGCTCCACCCACTTTAGAAGGTCGACGATACATTGATGGATGGCTGCCTCCTGAATCATATCCTGTCTGTACAACTCGCCTATGAACCTGTGTTAGGTGTATAATAATTAATTATTCATCCATTCATTCACTCATGCATTCATGCATTTATCTATTCATTCATTCTTTCGTTCATTCGTTCTTTTATTCATTCGTTCGTTCGCTCGTTCATTTAATTTATTAATTTATTAATTTATTCATGCACCTTATATTTCCGAGCGTTTTTGATTTTTTGATAATTTCAGTTTCCTCCTCGCTCTTCTCTGCCCATGTTGCTGAGTCGTCCTAAGATATCATCATCGTCATCGTCATCATCTTCATCATCATCATCTCAACATCATCATCGTCATCATCACATACGCTTGTTGGCGTCGTTGGTGAATCATTCATCTCACCATATTTGTCTTTCTCAAATTCGTGCTGACATCTGGGGATGTTTTTAAAATTATTACCCGATCAATCAATCAATCAATCAATCAATCAATCAATCAATCAATCAATCAATCAATCAATCAATCAATCAATCAATCAATCAATCATTCAACCATTCAATCATTCAATCATTCATTCATTTATTGTCCCTTTCATCCGACCAGCCAACCTAGTGATAATCAGATCTTTAAAAGTAACGAAGCTAGCATAGTCTTCGGAACTCGGGACGCTCCACTACAAAACAAACAATAATATTAATAATAATTTTATTATTATTATTATTAACTTTATTATAAATATGAAAGAGAGAGAGAAAGAGAAGAAAAAAAATTTAATTATAACCATAATTATGATCATAATTTCATAATAAAATGTGAGTTTTATGACCCATCGGCTCACCGTCGCAAATTTTCTGGCCAACTTTGCGTAGAGTTCTGAGAAGTTGATTTCTGTTATTGCCTGTTGTGAATGAATGTATGAATGAATGAATGAATGAATGAACGAATGAATGAATGAATGAACGTACGAACGAACGAACGAACGAATGAATGAATGAACGCTAACGAATAAATGAACGAGTGAACGAATTAATCAACAAAAGAATAAGCTACTAATGAATCAAAGAACAAACGAACGAACGAACAAATGCATGTAAGAAAGAAGCCCTAGATAAATGACCCACAACCATAATTAATAAATTATTATAACCATTAACTATAATAAAGGCTTAACCATAACTAATCAATCATTACAACCATTAGCTATAACAAACACTTAACCATAATTAATCAATTACTACAACCATTTACTATAACAGTATACGTCCGACCTTATCAAAGAGGATATTTATGCAAGACTTCATAAGGTGCTCGCTGCTGATCTGGTTCAGATGTAGTTGGATCTGCTGGCATATGCTCTCAAAGTTTTTCGTCGAGATCTTGTTCAGTAACGCGCGCAACTTGTTAAAAACCATGTGCTGCTGATTATGTTGTTATTATTATTGTTATCATTATTATTATTATGGTTTTTACTATTATTATTAGTATTATTATCATTATTTTTTTTATTATTCTTTAAAAATCAAGATCTGACAGACGCAGAAACTGTAACAACATGCAAGGCAGTGAAACAAAATTAAACAAATAAGTGAGAAAATAAATACAAAAAGTGAGGAAGAGAAATGATAAAACATAAAAAATAAAATATGTTAGATAAAATAATTAATAATAAGAGAAATAATAGAAAAGTAATTGACGATGGAATATAAAATGAAGTAACGGCAAATTATCATCATTATCATCATTATTATTATCATCATCATTATCATCATTATTATTATTATTTATTTGTCCGTAGAAAGAATGAAAGCAAACAGCATAGTAATAATAACCCCATCGCTCAAGCCTTCTTCGTTGCACACATTGCTGTTATTATTATTGTCATTGTTGTTATTGTTGTTATTGTTGTTGTTGGGACTATTATTATTATTATTTATATTATTATAATTGGTGGTAGTAGTAGTTGTAGTAGAATTAGTAGTAGTAGTGGTAGTAGTAGTAGAAGCAATTGTTGTCTTTGTTGTAGTTTTATTATTTGCAGTTAAGTTTTTGGTGTTGATGTTATTATTATAAGCATTACTATTATTATTATTATTATTATTATTATTATTATTATTATTAGTAGTAGTAGTAGTAGTAGTAGTAGTAGCAGTAGTTTTCGTATTACAACTAATGGTATTATTATTCATCTTAATGTTGTTGCTAGTGTTAGTGACGTAAATATTATTATTATTATTGTTGTTGTTGTTATTATTATTATTGATGTTGTTGATGACGGAACTTGCTTTCCAAGCGTTTTTTCCACACGAATGCAAAGAGACTGCGCCTGATAAATTAAAATCTATAATCTTCCGCGGACCATCAGACGAGAAATACTTCAAATTGTTGTTGATGTTGTTGTTGTTGTTATTGTTGTTGTTATTGTTGTTATTATCATTGTTTATCATATTATTGCAGATATAGTTGTTGTTGCTGTTGATTATTAGTTTGAGCGTTTTGTTATTTATATTATGTCTTTTCTTATTATTCTTCTTCAGCTTCTTCCTAGAATAATCCGTCATAAAAGCCGACGATGACGTCATTGGTGATGACACGAGTGGTGATGATGACGACGTTGATGATGATGGTACCAATGGTGATGATGGTGATGATGATGACGACGACGATGATGATGATGACAGACCTGCTACAGACTGTATATGATGAATAACAATTGTACCTTGTGTATGTTTGTGTATGTACGATTGTTTGTTTGTTTGTATGATTGTATGTATGTTTGTGCGCATGTGTGTGTATGTGTGTGTGTATGCTTGTGAGCGTGTGTTTGTAATTTTTGCATGCTTTGTTAAATATTTGCTTTATGTCTAGCTCAGACGATTATGAAATTTTTAACTTTTTTTTATTATTATTGTTGTTGTTGTTGTTATGATTGTAATAATTTTAATGATTGTTCTTATTTTTCTTTCCAATTCATTTTTGAACGCGCCGTCATAAACATTGTCACTTTATTTTAATACGTTCTGGTCACCATTGTTTCATTCATTCATTCATTCATTCATTCATTCATTCATTCATTCATTCATTCATTCATTCATTCATTCATTCATTCATTCATTCATTCATTCATTCATTCATTCATTCATTCATTCATTCATTCATTCATTCATTCATTCATTCATTCATTCATTCATTCATTCATTCATTCATACATTCATTTATTCGGTGTTCCATTTATTTATTTATTCGTTCATTCATTCATTCATTCATTTTTTCAGTGTTTCATTCATTCATTTATTCATACAAGCCACCGGGCAGGTTTGCATGCATTGAAATAATTTGCATACTCTTGGCTCTTATTACCACAACAACAACAACAGAAATAATAATAATAATAATAATAATAATAATAATAATAATAATAAAATAATAACAATAACAATCAGAAGCGTCATCTTCATCAATACCTGCATTAAAACAATTCCAGGTATAGTCGGCAGATTAGTTGGCTTAACAAGGGAGGGTGGAGTCTGTCTGAGAGCCAATAGGAAGTCGGGAGAGTATTTCCTGATTTCTGATTTGTCAGAGGAAGAGCACCTTGGTTCTGATTGGTTGCCATATTATTGTACGTAAATACAAAATATGTCGATTGTTTAAAATGATATTAACAATAGAGTTGTTATAAAACTGGAAATAAGAACTACTACTACTGCTGCTACTACTACCACTGCTACTACTACTACTACTACTACTGCAGCTGCTACTACTGCTGCTGCTACTACTACTACTACTGTTACTACTACCACTGCTACTACTACTACTACTACTACTACTACTATTACTACTACTACTGCTGCTGCTACTACTACTACTGCAGCTACTACTACTACTATTACTACTACTACTACTACTGCTCTACTGCTACTACTACTACTACTGCTGCTGCTGCTACTTCTACTGCAGCTACTACTGCTGCTACACATACTACTACTACAACTATTATTATTATTACAACGATATTTACAATGATTTAATTTATTGGCTAATTGACCGACCGACTGAGTTATTGAAGTAAATGAATG